CGAGAATAAAGTCGAAATGTTTCGAGAATAAAGTCGAAATGTTTAGAGAATAAAGTCGAAATATTACGAGAATAAAGTCGAAATGTTTAGAGAATAAAGTCGAAATATTATGAGAATAAAGTCGAAATGTTTAAGCGGCATGTGAGTCTTTCCGATTACAATAATGAGACGTTATTTTCATTATAAATTAAGCTATACTGTTTTTTCATGCCTTCTGATGTTCCTTTACTTTTATATCTTGCTATAAACTTGAAATAAAGATGGAAAAACACATTTATAATTTGTATTTTGTGATAAAACTGACAGAATTGGAAAGCTGAGCTGTGTTATATTAAAAGCAACAAAGCACAAAATTATTGCGAATACTGGGTGGCTGGCGTACAAATAATGAATGGAAGACATTAAATATTATGTCCAATCATTTACTGTATTATACCATGAATAAAACAGCTTGTGAATAGTCACTTACATGTTATAACCGACAGGCTACCTCAGAATAGAAAACAATACAGCTTACGTTAACGAGTTGGAGCCCACTTCAACTTTTAGAACGTTCTATTAATGAAATAGGCTACATGTGAGTAATAAACGTTTGGACGCCACAGACGATTTTGCAGAGTAGGTGGTGGAATTTTCACAAAGAAAACAGTATAAGTTAATGAATTTGGTTCACATAAATACAGCGATCTGATCGTTAAGGAGCTTGAAAACACATTATTGTAAGACACATAATTTGTGTTTTGCTATAAAACTGATTTTGAAAGCTGAGACTTATATTAAAAGTAGGCCTACCAAAAGCTCAAAGCTTATTGCTATTGGATGGCTGGCGCACTACAAATAACAAATGCAATGGAAGACATGAAATATTATTTCCAAGCATACTGTCCCCGCGAGTATGACACATGGTATGATTTCAGCTAATAATCCCACATATATTAGTAGTGTATTAAAAAAGGGTTAATGTCGATTGGGTGTGTGAGCTGTTAAGATAAAAAGTTGTTCCTGTTCAGTCTGTTAATAAATATCATATTCTTGATATTAAGCTGTTTTCGCGAGTCCTTAAAATTTACTCTTCCTCATCCCAGTAAGATGATGCAGCCGCTCGGACACAACAATATTCAAATCAATTCCGGTAGCCTGGCAGCTTCTCCCGGTGTTCTCAATCTGGGCCATTTGCATGCGCATTAAAGGCTATACTCTCAAAATATTACAACTTTCATTTCTACGATTTAAATTGTCGAAACATTTACTTTATTCTCAAAACATTTCGACTTTATTCTCGTAATATTTCGACTTTATTCTCGAAACATTTCGACTTTATTCTCGAAACATTTCGACTTTATTCTCGTAATATTTCGACTTTATTCTCAAAATATTTCGACTTTCTTTATTCTCGAAATATTACGACTTTAATCTCGTAATCTTATATATTTCGAATTTTTTTTAATGTGGCACTAAAACGCCGTTGTACTAAAATAACTAAAACTGAAATAATAAGAAAATAATAAAAACTATGTAAAAAATGACAAAAACACAACACAAAATATAAAAACTATAATAGTATCCCAACAATACAAAAACAACACTGATTTCTACAATGGTAGAAAAACACATGTAATAAAAAGTTTTGTGTAAGCCTAAGTGTGTGGTTTTCTGCAGGCTCTGACTGTAATGGTGCTCGACAGACTGAGGTGGTCAACAAACAGGAAGAGTTCCTCCCTCCGCAGCCTCTGCTCTCTGCCTACCTGGAGCAGTTGAGCTGAACTGCTATGAATCCTGGCTACAACCAGTACCATTGATGCTCGTCCAGCCAGAACTTGAAAATAAAGCTTGACCTTGACCTGGCCAGTATGAACTGTGCACATGGCATTATGTCATTGGACCTGGCCTGCAGGAGAGACTGTGCTAACTAGATTATAGTGCTCAGTGTCACTATCTCTTTCATTTAGCTTTTTAAATGCATTTTGGAGCACGTATTAGTAGATGTTGTCACTACAGCTGTCTTTATAAATGATTCTTTTTTCCATGTTGCAGACAGAATGTTTACATTTACTGTCATGGCATCCTTGTATACAAATAGAAACATAATTGTATGACCTCAAGAAGAGGCAGAAAATGATTTGATAATTATTGTTTTTGATGTTCATCTTAACTTGAATTGAAGAATCTAGAAATTCATGTTCATCTCTGATGTTATACAAGCCACATATAGTCACTTTCGGACGTCATATAAATCAGCACGTGTCGCAAATAATATGATGGTTATGCAGTTATTGTTCATTTATACCTGTGCGACCTGTTTGTTCTTACTGCACACATACTGCACAACTTTTTACAGTTCACATACATTTGATTTGTGCAGACTGCTAATTTACTAAAGCCAATCCTGCCTGACAACGGAAGAGTAATCAGTAGACCTTTTATATTCAGCATTCTGTAACTTGAATTTATGTAGAACTGTACTTGTCTTGTTTGTTAATCTGTCGTAATTAGATGTCAAACGCGTCATTTTTTTTCCATTAAGGATCTGCCAACATGCACTTGCAACTATGCCTTACCTGTACACACCATATTTGTCAGTTTTGCATTTTTGTATTTATATATTGAGCCTTTACATCAAGGTTATTATGGTTTACATAGTGGAAAAATCTTTTAATGTTTTTTACCATCAAGAGTCCTGAGACACTTGAGCAGTTGTTGCATTGGTGTTTATAACCAAAGCGTGTCTGTGTGCTGATTCTCAGGCATCAACTATCATGAATGTGGACTTTAAACATTTACATTACTCATAAAATCACCTAAAAACAGGTGGGTTGAAACCTTTTGAAAGGGAGAGTGGTGTTTTTGGAATATTGATACTTGTTTTAAAATAGTTGAGTTAAATGCTATTTAAACCATGGTGGCAGAATATGAATACATTCCATAGAGCGCTTAAAGGGTTAGTTCACCCAAAAATGAAAATTAGGTTGCGTTTTAGTCACCCCCGAGGCATCCTAGGTGTATATGACTTTCTTCTTTCAGACGAATCCAGTCGGAGTTATATTAAAAATTGTCTTTGATCTTTCAAGCTATATCATTGCACTCAGCAGGTGTTGCATTGCTTCAGTTCAAAAGAAGTTAAATAAAAATCGCCCATCCATAAAAAAAAGTGTCTCGCACTGCTCCGGGGGGTGAACAAAGGCCTTCTGTAGCGAATCGATGCACTTTTGTAAGAAAAATATCCATATTCAAAATGTAAAAATCACTTTAATGTAGCTTGCATCAACAGTTGTACACAGAAGCAGTTCCGGGAGCATTACGGGGCAGTTACGGGACGTATTAGGTCAGCGTTGCGCATGCAACAATCCAACGTTTGTTTACAGGATCAAAGGAAGCAAAGTTTCCTTACTTTAGCAAAGCAAAACCAGTCTCCTCTTGGCTTATATCGAAATCCTCTGACATTCTTCTTTACAAATCCTCGTTTTGTACTTCTAATTCTTGACCGTTGTTTTGTTTTGATCTCTCCGCTGCATTTCCGCGTGCATCACTTCTGAGCGGCGAATGCACAAAGCCGACCTCCTACGTCATTCCCCCGGAACTGCTTCCATGTACAACAGTGAGCGCAAGCTAGATTCAAGTGATTATTACATTTTGAATATGGATATTTTTCTTTTAAAAAACACATCGATTCGCTACAGAAGGCTTTTGTTCACCCCCTGGAGCCGTGTGAGACAATTTTTTATGGATGGGCGCTTTTTATTTAACTTCTTTTGGACTGCTGCATGCAACACCCGCTGACTGGCATTAAACAGCTTGAAAGATCAAAGACAATTTTTAATATAACTCCGACTGGATTCGTCTGAAACAAGAAAGTCATATACACCTAGGATCCCTCGGGGGAGAGTAAAACGCAGCCTCATTTTCATTTTTGGTTGAACTAACCCTTTAATTGTATTTAGTTTTTGTCTGTGGTGAGTATCTGTACCTAAGACAATTAAAATACCAAGTTTTTAACTGAGATCGTACTATGTGATTATTTTAGGGATCAGATGCAAGTCATGTGAATTTCAAAATGAAAAATTTCTGTTGACGCTTCACTTCCATTAATGTTGTTCTGAAACTTCAATTTACAAATGAGGCTTAAGGCAGGCGTACACGGTGCAATTTTTGCTGTCATACCAGCTCGCAGGCGATTTTTTTCTCTCGGGAAAAATTCGCAGATACACGCATGGTCGTGGCTTGTACCGTGTGAGAAGAATTATGGCCGATCTGAGACGTTACGAGCACCTCCCGTCCTCCCGATAATTTTCAAACATGTCAAAAAAAATTGGATGCTGTCGGTTTAAATTTGTGGCATATGTACGGTTGAACGAGGCGATTTGGCAATCCATCTGAAGTTGACCAATCAGAAGATGACAAAAACCATATAGTCTATAATAATTTTAGTTTAATTATACAGTTCTATTTTTTATTTGTTATTTCGAATGTGCCAAATTTGCCGTTCGCTTTGTAAATGAATATGCCTGTTGTATTTCCAGCAAAACGAGCAGAAATTCAGAAATGGCCTAGTCCCTCGAGTTCTTTATGAAGAACAGAAAGTCCATGCTTTTCTCTGCTTTTCAGCCATTCTCTTTGCCATGTCCTTTGTCTTCGTTTTTTTTTGGACGTCACAAGCCGCCTGCCACAAAGAAAACTATTTTGTTCTCAGAATCCATATTTTTATGAATGGCGCGAAACGTAATGCTTACGCCAGAGTTTGTAAAATCGTAGTAAATTCGTGCCGTGTGTGACTGCCTCCGTACGATTTTCAGATAAACTCAATCGTGACATGTGCCAGAGCTCACGACGTTCCGACCTTCAGAATCGCACCGTGTACACCCGCCTTTAGACCATTGACTGTTAGAATTGTTAGGACCTGAGTTAGGAATTGTAACAAATGGTTAGGAATAGTTTGGCTGTCTGATCGCTGGAAAGAATGGAAAAGAGAAGGGGAAAGGACGGAAGGAAAGAAAAAATAAATTAATATCCATCCATACTTCATGAACACTTACAAAGGATTTAATTAAAGGGTTTGATTGATTTTTGACTATACAATTTCTAATAAAAGCTAATAATAATAAAAACACACCACACACTCTTGCCAGGACTTGCATCTGGAACCTTCCACCCAAAGGATGGATGTGTTACTATTACACCACAAGAGTTGTGTCTTTCTTTTTTACAAACACTGCAAATTAAGCACTGGAAACAGCAACTAAAAACAAAATGTTCACAGCACAACACACAGCAAACACAATTAAAAACTGAACTATATGCAACTATATACATTACTATATACACCAATGAAAAAAAAATCAAAATACCTTGCTGTACATTCTCCCTCCACTGTGCAACAGAGAGGCCTGAGGCTGGACAATACCACCGGCCCTTCAGCTGAGTGTGGCCAGTTGTCTTATTTTTTGCCAGCCCACACTGCTTGCAGATATAGTGATATATATCCTTTGCCAGTCGTTTCCGTGGTGGTTCACATCTAGCCACTCGCTCCTCATCGTCTTGGGCAGCTTTCTGCCTTCTCCATGTGCGCTGCCTGGGCTGAGTAGAAGGACAAGTTTGTGGTGGCAGGTTATCAGGCGGCTGGAATTGGGGAGGGGGCTGGAACTGGGGAGGGGACTGGAATTGGGGTGGAACTGGGTAGACTGAGGCAGTGGTAGACCTGGTGGGTAGCTGGGAAAGGGTGGGTAGGACCCAGGGGAAATGCAAAGTGTGGTGCTGGTGGGTATATGGGAAATGCCGAGTAAGATCCAGGAGGAGGGGTCGGCAGTGGGCACCTGTTGGAGATACGCTTACGAATGAAGGCCTCTCCCTCCTGATTTGCTGGCTCCTGAAATACCATGGCCTCATGCCTATGCTGTGCAGGAATAGCTGGAAGTGCGCGCACTTCAGGAAGTGACTCCTTTGCCAAATATAATTGTTTGGGCAGTGCAGTACCCTGCAGCAGCATGTCTCTGTCTACACGTTTCCGTCTTCTTAGTAGCCTGCAAGAGAAACATTCTTCATCTTAAGTTAGCAATTTTAGTGGATTAAAGCCCATTGTCTTTACTTACTGTAGCATAATTTTTAAAAGAAGCATGTACAGGAAGGTTTTATAAGTACAATCTTGATATACTACTGGGATTGTATAAAAGTATTGCATAAAAGAAGACTCACCACGAGGAGACAGTAGTGGTGTTTATCGGGACCAGAACCAGGTGAGTCTGTCCTAGAACCACTCTGCTGTCCTCCAGCAGCTGTTTTAAGTGGCTGTATACCACCACAATAGATTGTGGAGTTGGCAGAGTTTTTCCTTGTGTGTCCTTGGGCCTGTTCCGTGCTTGCTGAAACTCTTTCAAAAGCCGTAGGCAAACACATTCCCAGACCCTGTGGACTTCAGGGTCCTGAGCTGCCTGCCCATGAGTCATGAACAATATATGGAAAACGAAGGATAATATAATCTGAACTGTATACTGGGTTATAAACTAGTGAAGATCCAAATAGTCAAATTACCTCTCTGCTGCCTGCTGTCTTGGAGCAGAGCCACTCTGCTTCCTGGATGCTCTCCAAGGTCCTGTCAAAGCCTGCTTCTTAACCCTCTGGCTATATTTTGATGGTACCTTGTCCATGGCATGCAGAGCCATGTACAGCTGGACTATGTCAGCCTCCTCTTGTGATGACAAGGCAGCGATCATTCGGTTTAGGCCAACCAGGTAGGCTGCCAGGGTATCAACTGCTTCCCACCTCTGGAATCACACTGTGCACTCTGAAAATTGAGAAAAACGCCAACCACAGTCCAATAAATATATACGGAGTTATAGTAATTATTTTGCATTGTACATGCATATATTTTAACTTTACGGTTGACAATATGTGTTTTGAACTGCACCAAATATATATTTTTTAAAAAGTAAAAGATATTACAGGATAGCAACATTACCTGGCCTGATGTGCTAGGACTTGCAGTTTCATCCTCCTCTTCCTCAGTGACCTCCTCATCAGGGGATTTGGGTCCAGTGTCACCCACCTAACTGGTCACCTAGGCCTCCACGACAGCTACTGAAGGGTCAGAGCCATCAGCCCTAAGGTCTGCTGCATGGCATACAGCCGTGTCAATTTTACTAACCTCTTTGGGCTCTCTTTGGGGACTTCAGGCATGTCATTGTGGTGTGCAATCAACTAGTCGCCTCTATTGGACTGGGCCAACAAGA